AGGTCTCTTTTGGCTGTGACGAACAGAAGACAGGGGGGAGTAACTGGGTTTAAGTGGTTTGAGTCATGTGCCTCAGATGGCATTGTGAGTACACTTCACTGCCCTTTATTTTTAGGCGTAAGAGTTCACTCTGATTTTGGAAGGTAGATGAAAACCTTGCCTGTGTCTGGGAGTATTATTTATTTGCATAGGACAGATGGGCCTCACCCGATTTCCTGAACTGCCCCCAGCTTGACTCACATTCCCCAGTAATGCTAAATTATTCCATCAAGTCTGAAACCCAGGGACAAATTGTGTGACCATAAACTAATAATATTGTTCTTTTTTTCAGAGTTTATCTTTGGACACAAAGTTCTAAATCTCTTTAATTTTTCCAGCACATTGATAAAAGATGCTCTAAATACATACAGCCTCTCCTTGGTAGCTCCCTAATATTGTTCCTTTAAAAGGAACTTTAGCCATGCTACTCCTAAAGCTAGATTCCCAGACTGTTTTGATTCTCCTCATTTTTTCAGGTAAATGAGTAACCCCACTGAGTAAGGGCTCTTAAGCCGCCTTGCCCTTTTAGTTCAACAAATACCTGGGCACCAGTGTAACCCACCTTGAATCAATACCAGAGGATACCTGTTTCAGGGCTTCAAGTGTTTGGTTACAGCTGCATTTGTCCAATGAGTCAGCCAAACTAGCTTTATTTCTAAAGACATTCCAGAGTGCTGATTTACTCAACGGGCTGTATTTCCTGAGGATGTGATTCATTCATACCCAGCAGAGAAGGAAAGAAGAACATTTGAAAGCCCACATAAGGAGGGGTGGATAAAACTGTTCTCTCTGGAAAACTGTCTTTTACAGTATGATGTGGATGTTTCTGGCATTTCTCTCTGGGGCAGGGGTTGGAGATGAGGTTTCTGAGGCTGCCAATGGGGATGTGAGGAGAGCTTGCAGGTCCACCCCAAGGCTCTGAGAAAGGAGGGATTTTCTGTTCAGTGAAGACCGGCAATCAGGCCCTTTTTGGAGCTGGGGACAGATGTTCCCTGACCATGAGGATTCACAGCTGAAGCCACATTCTGTGCCTTGCTCCAGTACTGGCCATGGGGGTTTGGTAAATCAGGGAAGGGGGCCTGCTCTGGTGATGAAGCCAGGCAGGGCCCTACAGGGCCCTCCCAGGTACAAAAGCATCTCTGTGTCCTTTTACAAAACAATCTGATATATATCTCTGGGCTCTTCTACAGGAACTAAGTCCCCACCTGGGTGGAGGATGGTAACTTCAGGCTGAGCCCAAGCACATAGACCCCAGAGTGGTCAGAATCAGAAGGCTGATGACTGAGATTCCTGAAACACCACCTTGTTACCTCCCAACCAACCAATCAGAGGAGGGTTATATACCCTACAGCCCTCACCCCAAATTTTACCTTTAAAAACTCTTCCCTGAAAACCATCAGGGAGTTGGGGGGGTGGTTCTTTTGAACACGAGCCACCCATTCTCCTTGCTTGGCCCTGCAATAAACCTTTCTCTGCTCCAAACTCTGAGGTTTTGGTTCGTTTGACCTCACTGTGCGTTGGACACGTTCATCAACGGTGACAGGAATCCAGTCTTCTCACTGTCTGCCTTCTTGTCACAGGCAAGTGCTCTGGGCTTCTTTACTAAGGAATCTTCCCTTGCTCCAGGTTTGCTTTTCCTTCTCAGGCATAATATCTTTGTTCTTTTGTTTAGAAAACATTCCAGGGACTTCTCTGGCAGTCTAGTGGTAAAGAATCTGTCTTCCAGTGCAGGGGATGTGGGTTCGATCCCTGGTTGGGGAACTAAGATCTCACATGCTGCAGGCCAACTAAGCCTGTGCACCTCTACTAGAGAGAGAAAACCTGCATGCCAGAACTAGAGAGAGCCTGCGTGCCACAACTAGAGAGAAGCCTGCGCACTGCAACTAGAGAGAAGCCCATGCACTGCAACGAAGAGCCCATGTACCGCAACGACAAAAAAAGAGCCTGCATGCCGCAAGGAAGATCCCACATGACACAACGAAGACCCAATGCAGCCAAAAAAAAAAAAAAAAAAGAATAAATAAAAAGAAATATAAAGAAATAAATAAGTAAATAGAAAACATTCCAGCCTGTAGGTAACCTCTATGCCATATAGGCTTTTATTCTGTCTGATCAGGAAATTCGATGACAGCCAGATGTGCTGACTTGTCCATTTTCATGTATTCTGTGCTGACTTGTCCATTTTCATGTATTCTGCACCTCAACCAGGAATCCAGCTTGATTTAGAGGTACACATGACTAGCTTCCTTTCATTCATTTGTTCATTCACTCCTTTACATATATTCCACCACTATTTATTAAGTGTCAGTTATGGGCCAAATGCTCACTCAGTTATTCATTTATGTGAATACATTTTATTCACTGGAATTTTGGGAGAAACTAGGAATGACAGGGGCTGGCTCCCAGGAGAGAAGCAGGCAGGAAGACACGGCTGAACTGGATTTCCCCAAATTTCCATGTGTAGGATGCAGGTGTGTGGCTGGAGCTGGGGCTTCTGGAGACCAGGGCATGGGCGTGGGCTGGTTCTCTGAGAAAGACAAGAGGTGAGGGTGGGAGCCCTGTGATGTACTGTGACAAGGGCCCCCACCCCCAGGGACCCTCTGATCTTCAAGCCAACAACCATAACCATGATATGCTCAGTGTGTCTGAGTTCCTTTCTGGGAAAAATGATAGGTGTGGGTTTTGCTTTTAGGGTGCCTCGGGGTAGAACTGCCTGTGCAGAGGCAGGAGCAGAGACAAGAGTGTCTCAAAGGAATAGGGTTGGATGTCACAGCTCTTGTGGGGAGGACAAGAGACTCATCCAAGATGGTGCGATTGGGAGGCCTGAGCCAGGTTCATCTAATTTTTCTGAGGGCAAAAAATTCCTTAAGTGACACCTTCTGAGTTTCAACAAGTTTTGATTCAGTTATAGCCCTAGACCATGATGAACATTCGCATTAACTGGGCAGAAGGACATGTAAGTAGACAAGCATAATATTATATACTATATAGTATGAAAATACTCTTAACTCCTAGGGAGAAGCAGCTAACTGTCTGGGGGTCTCTGAGAAGGGTTCATGGAGAAGGTGGCGTCTGAGTTGGTGGAAAAATTGCTAGGACACCTGACAAGCAGTTGCCATCACAGAGCCTCTGTAATCCAGCCCTTCCATCCTTGGGTGACTTTGACCTGAGCACATTGCTTATTTTATCAATCTGCTCCCTGTCACCCACTGATGGACACTAGTTATAAACGGCATGGCTCCAAATGTCTGCTTGTTCATCTGCCGAACGTGAGTAATGTTGACCTTGTTGGGAGCTCGGTTTCAGTGTCTCAAAGAACATTATCTGTGGTGGATGTAGTCTGATAACAAATAATAAACATTCGTTTAATCCATGAAGTAGTCAGTTTCCCTAAATACTATTGATAACAGTAGGCAAGTGCATTTCAGTTCCAGGGTGGGACTTGCAAGACATTGCCCTACCTTTTGGGAAGTTCTTCTTTTAGGAGATACTACTAAATAATGATGATGCTTATGATAATAATGATGGAAGTAGCTGTTTATTTAGTACTTACACTGTGCTATCAACTCTATAAAACTCTCACGACATCCTAGGTTCCTCATTGTACAGAAATGGAAGCTCAGAGAAGGTAAATGGTAAATAAGGGGCAGTCAGTCTTCCCCCAGACTCCTCCCCTCCACTCCAGGCCATGTTGAGTCTGGAATCCAGCAGCGTGGGATTGCTTGGAGGTGCTCATTTTTTCTTTCTGAATGTTATCAACCCAGTCCCCAGCTAGGCTGTAACCACTCTGAGAGCAAGGACAGAACCTTCTACTTCTTCACCTCCCAAAATACCTAGCATGGTCTCTTGAAAAGAGTCAATACATACTTATGGGTGATTGAAGGATTGCTTTCTAAATGGGCAGTCCTGGGTTTGGTACAGTAAGGAGGAAACAGAGAAAGATCCCACAAGGTAGAAATCTGCCTGTTAAAGTGTCTGAGTCTATTCAATGTAATGTTTGCTGTTTTTTCCTCCACAGGAGCTGTGAACACATTTCTTGTTTGTGGCCACCACTTGTATTTTTAAGCACTTCCCAAGATCCTCATGGTTGCTGGGAATCATTCCACACTTCTGCTTTTTAAAATTTTATTTTTATTGAAGTATAGGTGATTTGCAATGTTGTGTTAGTTTCACAACACAGTGTACAGCACAGTGATTCATATATATATATATATATATATATATATATGTATATATAGTTTTTCAGATTCTTTTCCCTTATAGGTTTTAATTTTTTTAAGATTTTTATTTTTGGCTACGTTGGGTCTTCGTTGCTGCGTGCGGGCTTTCTCTAGTTGTGGCGAGCGGGGGCTACTCTTCGTTGCGGTGCGCGGGCTTCTCATTGCGGTGGCTTCTCTTGTTGCGGAGCACGGGCTCTAGGCTCATGGGCTTCAGTAGTTGCAGCACGTGGGCTCAGTAGTTGCAGCATGCGGGCTCTAGAGCGCAGGCTCGGTAGTTATGGTGCACGGGCTTAGTTGCTCTGTGACACCTGGGATCTTCCTGGACCAGGGATCGGACCTTTGTCCCCTGCATTGGCAGGTGATTCTTAACGACTGCCCCACCAGGGAAGTCCCAAGATTTTTTTTTTTTTGATGTGGACCATTATTAAAGTCTTTTTAAAATTTGTTACAATACTGCTTCTGTTTTATGTTTTGGTTTTTTGGCTGTGAGGCGCGTGGGATCGTAACTCTCTGACTAGAGATCAAATCTGTACCCTCTGCATTGGATGGCAAAGTCTTAAGCACTGGACTGCCAGGCAAGTCCCTCCCTTATAAGTTATTACAAAATATTGAGTATAGTTCCCTGTAGGTCCTTGTTGGTTATCTACTTTGTATATAGTAGTGTGTACATGTTAATCCCAATGTCCTAATTTATCCCTCCTCCATCCCCACTTTCCCCTTTGGCAGCCATAAGTTTGTTTTAAAGATGTGGAACGCTTCAGGAATTTGTGTGCCATCCTTGGGCAGGGGCCATGCTAATTTTCTCTGTATTGTTCCGATTTTAGTATATGTGCTGCTAAAGCCAGCACTACACTTTTGCTTTCATTGTGCCCAGACCTTCCCGAGTCTGCACCTGGCATGTACACAGGTCTTTTGTTTTTGTTCTTCCCTTTCATGTTCTCGGGTCTCCTCCCTCTTCTGTTTCTTAAAAATGTAGCTAAGGAAGAGGTGCAGTTAGCAAGCTCTTTGCTTGAGGCTTCCTGATTTTCATGTGATTTTGAAAATTCTGTTCTTTGAAAGTAGTTGTAAAACATGGGTGATGAGAATATTTGGCATTCATTAGGCAGTTTTATATTTGTGAATAAAACTGGTAGGAGATTCCAGCTTACCCAAATAAAATGATCTCCTCTTAGCTTAGCACCATAATAAAGTTAAAAAACAATAAAAAAGAAACAGTTCGAACAGGAATAATTTAAAAGTTTAATCCTGAGGGAACTTTTCACATTTTTGTTTTGCCCCAGAATAATAGCTCTTAAAGATGGTCATCTTTAGTTTGGTTTAGAATCAGTTTTGAGAGTGTACACAATTTCCCAGAGTTGCTTATGTTTATTTAAGCCCTCATTCTGAGCAGTGGTTTGTGCTAAACTCTGGTCAAATGTTCCTGAATCTTTGAAGACTCTGAGCTTGATCTGAGAATCTTTGCTTTAGTTTAAGGTGTCAAATTAGAGCTATTACAAAACAAGAGGACTGGAGTTGATAAAAATTGATAAGCAACTCTGAGTTTTATTACTGCTTTTACATTTATTTTTTAGTCGATTTTAGGCTAATCTTATCATTATTAACGTATAAAAATGTAAGATGTAAAAGCTGACATTCCCCCAAGAAATTCCTGTGTGAATTGTATAGCCTGATTAAAAATATTACATGTTGGCACCAAAATTATGGGCTTCTACTGTTACCACCCACAGTGTTTGGGGGAAATAGTGAGGGATAAAGAGAAGCTATGTAGAATCCCGGAGTTGTGGTCTTCCTGGAGCAGCAGCTCTGTGGAAACATAAAGTCACAGTATTTGTAGGAGGAAAGAAAATGTGATGGAAGCATGAACGGAATAGTTAGTGAGGTGGAGAGTCAAGGATGTGGGTTGTGTGAGTGGTTAATTACTTGTCTCACTTGATTGGGCTTTCGGTAAACTTGAGAAATGCCAAGTTGTTTTTCCAGTCTGAGAGCTGACTTGCTGTTTGGGTCTGGACAAGTCACTGTACATTCATAAAGCATATTCAAAAGATGATTGAGAAAAGTTCCTGGTAGCCACCAGCTCCCACATTCCTCTTCGTCTTTTACAAAACCCAGGGACTTCGACAATCTCCTAAACAGAATTGGAGAGTAAAATACCCATGATCTCTATTCCAGAACACTCCAGAATTGGGTCTTAGAACATTATATGTTAAATGGGTTAAATAGAATAGTGGATAAAAAAAAATCTGGTGTAACTTCTAGATGGGTGACTTTACATTAAGATATAGGCAGTGTTTATGCAATATTTTTTTCCATTCATTCCATACCATCTAGATTTTTATTGAGCCCCATCCCTGAGTTCGCCTGCAGCTGCAGCAGACAGCTCCTGTGCACACTGGCAGCCTCCCACCTTAAATGTTCATGTCTCTTTGCTTCAAGAGAAGCAAAGCAAGGAAGACCTGCAACCAAAAGGGTTTGTACGGTGCATGTACAAGGCTGCTGGAAGTGTGGAAATGGATGCCCCGAGGTCAGCTCTTAACAGTGAGGGATGAGGGTCAGTGGATGAGTACTCCAGCTTTGCCATTCCTTGGTGGGATACTTCTGAAGGCTCCTTTTCAGGGGATCCTCAGCGGGACTGAGCTCTCGCTGCCCACAGTGGCCATCAGCTCATCAGAGCATGCTTTATTGGCATTCCTCCCACCCCTTCCTTGCTTCCCCTACTTGTGTTTCTTGAGATCCTTTTCCTAATAAACACTCGAACCCAGCATTGCCTCAGGGTTTCTTGCAGAGGAACCCAGAAGCAGATAAGCATATACTGTGACTATGGCACCAGAGATACTCTCAAGGATCTAGTGATGGAGACAGAGAAAGGGCTAAGCAAAATGTATCACCAGCTGAATGTGCCTGCGTACTGTGAATGGGAACAAAATAACAGCTATAGAGGGATTCAGAGAAAGGAGAGATGGTTTCAGCATAGGATGAACAGGACCATGGAGGGAGCAGGATAAGGTTAGGATTTGAAGAGTGAGTCAGAATTAAGTTATTTTCCTACAGGGTTGGGTGGATGACATTGAATCTGTGGTCTGAGCCTGACAAATAGACCCTTTGACTGGAAGGGAAAGGAAAGGGGAGGGAACCAACATTTATTGAGTGTAGGCTATGGGCCACAGCCTTAAGGGGGTTTAGGAATTAGAATTAGTGATTAGGAATGTAGATTTTACCCACACTGTCACATTTACCCCTTGTATAACCACATGAGGCAAGGTATCTGTTGTAGTCAACTTGGGCTGCTATAACAAAGTACCATAGAGTGGGTGGCTTATGAACAACAGACACTTATTTCTCACAGTTCTAGAGGCTGTAAGTCAGAGATCAGGGGGTCAGGAAGGTCAGGTTCTGGTGAGGTTCTCTTCTGGGTTGTAGGCTGCTGACTTCTTGTATCCAGTCATGGCAGAAAGAGAGCTAGCTCTCTGGCCTCTTCTTATAAGGGCACTAATCCCATTCATGAGGGATCTGCCTTCATGACCTAATTATCTCCTAAAGGTCCCACCTCCAAATGCCATCAACATCAGGATTAGGGTTTCAACATATTTGTTTTGGGAGGACACAAACTTTCAGTCCATTGCAGTATCATGATCTGTAGTTTATGGAACAGAAATTTGAGGTGCAGAGAGTTTCATTGGTTGGCTCAAGGTATTTACAGTTGGTAAATAGCAAATATAGGATCCAGATCTCTAGAGGCCAGTCTTGGAAAGTGGATGCAAATGCGGCTGGTTGAAAAGTGAAAGATTAAATTGTCCCTTTGGACTATAGTACCCAAAATGATGTTCATTATTTACCCCCCACTCCCAAGTTCTGGCTTATTATATGGCCAAATCAAACTTGGTAGACAGTTTTAATCATGGCTACTCAACAGATGAAGACCTAAGACCTGGGAGTTAATACTACCAGTTCCAGGACACTGCATTATTTTTTAGACGGAGAGACAGTTAATTCCCATCTCCATAGACACTACGCAACACATTAAGGCTTTGATTTGTATTTAGTTTCAACTAAATAGAATAAATGGCTTGCATCTGGTCAACTAATGTAGATGTTTAAAAATATTCTTTATGTAATACTCTAGTTTGTCAGTGGACTTGATTAGGGTTGTTTATTTAGCTGAGCATTGCCCCCAGATCTGGTCTCCACCTAGAATGATTACTGTTACGTATTTGGAGGGCAATTAGTAGTCACTCTGTCTCTGGGTATATAGTTGGCTTTGTTAAGAGTGATGTAAATTGTTAAGTAGGTATGAAATGGCATGAAAGGCTAGGCTTTTCTCCTTTAATTCAGAAACTGCCAAGAAAAGAAACAAATGAAGAGGGAAGGCAATAAGTATTAAGAAAGGATGAAAGCCAGAAGCCTTCTCTCTACTGCAGTTTTGGAATTTTGTGCTTCTTAGGTTTTTCAAATTATTTCCATTTGCTTTTAAATGGGTTTAATCTGGATAATATCGTGTCTAGAGATATTGCAATTCAAGGGGTTTCTACCTAATTAAAAATGAAAGAAACAACTTGAAAGCATGATGGAATGTAATCCTAACACTCTTTCTCCATCCCCATGGGCAAAAGGGAGGTGAAGGTGAAGAGAGAAGTAGAAGAAAAAGAGAAAGGAGTGAGATGGAAGGTTTGCTTTAGCATCTTGGAAACACTAATGAGAATTAAAAGAATCATAGCCAACACTGATTACACACTTATATGTGTATACACATTTATACTTCTCTAAATACTTTACTTATGAAGAAATTGGGCAACAAGATAAGTGATTTTCGCTAAAGTGGGTCTGGGATGAAAGCCAGGCAGGTTCAGAGTATGTGCTCCAAGCTTCTATATTCTTTTGCTTCAATGATAGTAACATGAGTGCTTAATAACTCTTCTTATGTGCTCTCTGTGGAAGGGATCATCTCCATTTTACAGACAAGGACATTGAGTTTTGGAAAAATTAACTCATCAATTAGCTCAAAATCAGACAACATAAATGATGGAGCATGGCTTTTAGTGCAAGTCTACTTTCAAAATTTGTGCTTTATGGGCTATGTTGCTTAAAGATCATGGTCAAACAGGTTATCAAGTAGCTTTTCAGAAAGAGGTTTCACCTTTCTGTCCTCAGAGTTGACCTTAGCTTCCTGTGCCATGGCCAGGAGACCTGGTTAACAGAACACCTGTGGTTCTGGGACTGCTCCTGGGCACTTGTGTTTAGGTGGGCAGGCCAGTCTTAAGGCTTCCAGGAGGGCTTCCAGGAGGACTTCTCTTGCTACTGTAAGTTCAAATGCTAAGTTAATCTCTTGCCAGCTCAGGAATGTTCTCTCACAGACCTGAGATCACATCTCTTTGAAATGTGACCATCAAAGAAGGTAAGGCCCTATCTCCAGCTTCCTGGGAGAAGATGGGCCTAATTTCAACTGTCCCCCAACTCCAAACAGCAATTCCTACCTCCAGTCATAAAGATATGATAGAATTAGCAATTTTATCTTGAACACATAAATGCAATGAATTGTATCCACTTAGCTGTGTAAAAGACTTTCCTCTGTCTTTGCAATCTCTTTGGCGAATTGCCTGTGATGAGTATCATATTCTGGTTTTATTCGATAATAAAATTGTTTTCTTTCTCTTTTACCTTGGTGGAGAGGTTTTCTAGGTTTGGAGGAGATTTTGTTTTTTAACTAAATTTCCCAAATAATACCTTATGTGGCCTCTTCTGGGGGAGTCTGGTAAGGCAAACTGCTTCTGAGAAGGATCTAGGGTGCAAGGGAGGGGGAAGGTGTACCAGACTCACTAGGAGGGCTTCTAGTATTGATAGATTTGATTGTCTG